TGTCAAGCATCTTCTCTCGTTGTCTTCCTCTGTCTCTCCTTCCACAGATGTTCTGTTTTTCCTCTTCTGATAACATGGCCGAAAAATGATGACTGTCTCCTTCTGATGTCTGTGATAAGTTGTCTTCGGGCTCCCGCCTCCTTCAAAACCTTTTGATAGCTGAGCGTTTTTAACACGCTTTAGTGTATTAGAAATTATAGTATATGTATAAATACATACTTTAAAAAAGAGAGCGCCTGTATACGGTTGGGGACGCTAAGCGCCCCCCTCCCCCCCGCCACCCCATCGCCCCAAGATTTGGGGGAGGGGGGGGGCATAAAGTACTTAAGCTCCCACGTTGCAGCACCCTTTGGTACCAATCAATCATTAGCTTATTTTACCACTTTAATTAAGCACTTGATATTTAGTCTAAAGAAGTCAGTATAATTGTATGTGTCTGGGACAGAACGAACTAAACTAAGAAGTTTAATATAACGGACTATGTCAATAGCGGCTTGCAGCGTAAAAGTTGGAAATTTTTTTTTTAAACGAAAGGACCCCGTTACACGCCGTATTGGGCATATAGGGCTAGACCTATATTTTATCGACCAGTCGGCACTTGGTGGGTGATTTGGCCAACATCACGCCGACCGCTTTTACTTCCTAGGACTGCATCTGGTACCCACTCAAGGCTGGGTCGGCTTGGGAGCCAGTGTCATTTGTCTTTTAAGAGAGCCTGGTTCCGGCTGGCTAAGCGGCTCGAACGTAATGTCAGGTGGACAGATTTTGCCACATTAGAATTCATAAAAACAAACAAAAACTTTGGACACTTTCAACCTGCCACTGGGGCTTGGCTATATTTGCGTCCTTGGTTTCTTGTGGTTTTAGTGGTTTTTTTCTTGCTACGTGGGTTCACGTCTTGTTGTGGTTTCCTTGAATTTTTGCTATGCTGGCTGTATTGGGAGTGGATGCCTGAGAAGGATTGGTAGGATTTGCTTGGGTCGGCCTGGATCGGGTATGGTCAAGTGGACAGGTAAATTGCTGGTAATATACGTGCCAATTTAAAATGCGATTGGGTCAGCTTCTCCTGTGTCTGTATCATCCGTATGGCTTCGTATCATGGCGTGTCGTTTGAGTCACAAACTACTGTTTGAATGACTGATCAGCGTCCTTCCATCTGTTTAGGGGTCAGTAATCTCTTGCTTTTGAGGCAAGATAACAAATTATATGGAAGAAATTAAAACCCCCTTCCCGAAGGAAATGATGCGACAGGGAGTGTCCGAACGCTCTAGGCGCCACTGGAGACTCGGGGGGAAAGGTAACACAAGTAGTTAACCAGAGGGCAGCGGGTACCAGCGAAGAATAGAAGGGTCTGGCGTGATTTGGTTGAGGGCCTATGCTCCACTGTGGGGTAAAGAGCTTAAGAAAAACGGATATCGGTACTCTGGAAACTTCTTGGTTGTTGAGGATACTATAATAAGTTAGTTGCGTATCTCTTACAGGACGTTGCAGAACCAACCCCAGCATTTTTTGACTGTTGTGGTTTTCTTAGGCAAGTTTACGTCTAGTGGTTTGCCATTGCTCTGGACGGTCGGCTTCTCAATGGCACTGTCGAAACCAGCGCAAGGCCCGCAGCTGGGATCGAACCCGCCAAATGTTTGTGTATTCTAGACAAAGCAATAAGGTCTTACTGTGTTCGTAAATTGTTGCTGTGATTGTTATTCGACATTTGCTTCGTTAATATAAATTTCTGTAACCTAGGGTGCCATTTCAATGGGTTGAAATGAATTCTGTCCATATTGCATAGTCGTGGATTTCAAGCTGTACGATAGACATGGCCAATGAGACACCTTTATTTGGGGGTGCCTAGTTCACCATGTATCTTAGTGCACTTGTATTCATGGCGAGGCGCAGACGCCGTCTGGAGGTGACAGGTTCAATTCCCGGCACGGTAACTATAGCTTTCGATTTTTATGTTGTCTAGTGTGTTCTTCTATCTTTCTACTTCTTTCTATGAGTGCTGTTCACAATACTTTCTGTTACTTGATTAATTGGCATTTCAAAGCGCGTGTGTAACGCCGAAGCTACAGACGCCGACAGTGTCACTTATGTTGAGGATACCACATAGAGCTAATATGTGCCTGGCCTAAAAGTAACGATGTTGAATCTTTACTCAGATTAACCCAAGCTCAGCACAATGCACATGCTCTGTAGCGCCGGCAAGGATCCTGAAATACTTTGGGTAGATTTTTAACTCCAAATTTTCGCGGGCAGCACTGCTAGGCTTCTCTCTGTTTTTTTTTTTTTTTTTTTTTTTTTTTTTTTTTAAAGATTTTCAACTGCCAAGGGATTTTTTTAAGTGCGCAGCAATGCACACGGATGTCCGATCGACCTTTTGGCTAAGATCAAAGAGTAGCTTTGCTGCACTGGGTCTAGCCAAGAGGTCCGGGATCGGTCATCACCAAGTCACGGGAGAAACCCAATCGGCAAAGCCATCTTAAAAAATCTGCCGGGCGGTTTTCCTGTTCAGTCTGGATTACCGACGAAATATCCTTCGGATAGTCGGGCGGCCAGGCTGGGCATTTGGGGAGACCGACCCGGACACACAAAAAAAAGGGGGGGGGGGGATTATTAGAAGTCCACCTCCACGTGAAAAATCTCAGCCCTTCCCGGGATTAAACCCGGAACCTCAAGCACTCGAGGCGGACACCACGTATAGAGACCACGCAGCTCCTTGTGTTTCTGTATGAAACCTCTGCGGGTCCGCTTGTCACCTATCTGTGTGTCTGTTTGAAAACGCCAGTAGTTCAGCTTATCATATGTCACTCGGGGCTGCCAGTAGGACATTTTTGAAAAACCCAGCTAAGATAACAAAACAAAACAAAAAAGCAAAGCAATACATAAGCAAAGAATAAAAAACAAAATTTAAAAATAAAAAAAAACCCAGATTGTTGAAAACTACAAATTTTATAGTTACGACACGAAACCTTAACCCGCTTTTATATAAGGATATTTTTTTTTTTTTTTTAACGCAGATTTCAAAATTTGAACCCAAGGCGTCGAATAAAAACCCAGATCTGTGAGTAAAAACCCATTATTGGCAGCCCTGATGTCCCTGTGTCCGTTTGAAAATGCTAGTGGGTCAACGTGTTCCTTGACTTCATGAGTTTGAAATCGCATTAGTTTCCCTCACCATTGACTTTATTCTTGTTTGAAATCCCATTGATTTCACTCAGCACATGTTTTGTCGTCTGCTTAAGTAGCCAATGAGGATTTCTCCGCTCTGTTGGTGTCAGTTGCAGTATGATTAAAAGTCCGCCTGTCATTTCCTTTGACCTTTGAAAATCTACTAAAGGCCCTTTGCTCCCGCCCATAGAGTACTCTGCTGCCGTTTAGGGTATTCAGTTCTGCTGCACTGTTGTGTTGAATTAAAAATGTAATGTAAACGGTATGGTCAAAGTACATCTCTCTCTCTCTCACTCTCTCTCTCTCTCTCTATCTCTCTCTCTCTCTCTCTCTCTCTCTCTCTCTCTCTCTCTCTCTCTCTCTCTCTCTCTCTCTCTCTCTGTACCCCACCAGGACATCACAAAAGCGACAAACACCCGGTGACACAAAGTGCCACCTTGCGGATGAGGATCACCCGTGGAGAGGTCCCAGAAACCCATTTCAGCCGTTTAGGCCATAGTTATGGTCCGTCTATATTCAGAGTCGGCTCTGTGGCTAAGTCGATGCGAACGCTTCGTAATGCCGGGATGCCGGGTTCGATCCCAGCTGCGGGCCATGCGCCTTGCGTTGGTTTCGACACTGGTATCAAGAAAGCCGACCGTCCAGAAAGCAATGGCAAACTACTATACGTAAATTTGCCTAGAAAAACCACACAACAGCCAGGGACTGTTGGGGGTTGTTCTGCAACGTCCTGTAAAGGATATGCAACTAACCTATCATGGAATCAATCCCGAAGTGTTGCGATATCCCTAGTACCATGCCAAAGGGTTAACATTAACAACTCATGGTTTCTTGATATTTAAAAATCACCTCGGCGACTTCTGCATATTGCCAAGTAATCTGTTTTAATGCGTTCATATTTCTTTATTCCGATTTTCCCCCCTTTCTCTGTATTCTATCTCATTTATTCTTATCTAACTTAACCACCCCTCTCCCCTCATCCCCACTCATCCCCATCTTCTTACCTCATGATTCTGGCATTTGTTTTATGTTTTAGCTCATGTTGTACAGTTACTTTGTTTTGTCTTATCTGACCTTTCCTTTGTGCTATTCGTTTGCGTTTCTCTATTTCATCCCGGTTCTAAATATTGTTAACTTTTTAAAATCCCATTATCTTCATGTTAAAATCTCGTTTATTCAGATTATTGCAATATTTTTTCCTCATTTCTTTTCCATCATATACTTCTCTATTTGTATCTTTGAAGAAAATCTTTAGTTTCTATATGTACCACGTTTTATGGCAGTACGCGGGGGGGGGGGGTGGGGGGGGGGGGGGGGGGGGTTAAAAAAAAAAGGGGGGGGGGTCTTGAGAATACAGAAATAAAACGGTAACCCTAACGCATCTTTGTCGGTTCTGGGCTCTATTGTGGGGTAAAAAAAAGAATACACCCACTGCCTTATTAACAACCATGTCGTAGACAATTAATTGAACATGCTTCCTTGGAAGTTAAAGTGCATCTGCCTGAGAGGCGAGGAACCAACAGTCTGCGTACAGGTCAGTAAAACGGATGTGCACGCAAAACTCTGGTTCTGGAACAAGGCTAAAGTCCAAAAGTGAACGCACAACCGGAACTTTCCGCCGGAGATTACATCCAGTAAAACAGCAGAAGAAAAAGAAGAAGAATCACCCTAATGATAATTCCATCGTAGTCTCAGTAATAAGAACGCAGCGCTCTTAACCTTTTGGACTCCCCGTTCCTCATTTGTGTCTAAATTCTGTATATATAATTCTTCTAAACTGACACAGTGGATGTGTATCTTCTGTTTCACTTGATGTGTCACCTTCCACTCCACAGGATGGCCCCTGTACCTCATCGGACACGTCCCTGTCTTCAATGAGCGGCAACAAGAAGGACAAACTGTGCTTGGTGTGTGGCGACAAGGCTCTCGGCTACAACTTCAATGCTGTTTCCTGCGAATCCTGCAAGGCCTTCTTCCGCAGAAATGCACACAAGGTACAGGCTGTTTGACTTAAGGGGGTAGTCTATGGTTACATAATAGGGTGTGTAGTAGAATAGGGCTATGTTTGTTTGTTTGTTGTTTTAGTATCCGTAAGCCATGAGTTGTTAACCCTTATGCTCGGTATTATGGATATCGCAACCTTTCGGCCTTGATTCCATTGTAAATACCGTGAATCTGGGAGAAATGTGGCTTTTCTGCCTACCCCCGGGAGTCAACTCGGACCACAAGGAGTTCGTCACCCGGTCACCGCGCAATCAGGTTTAGCCAACTACGCTATAGAGCCGGGCCAGACTAGGGCTACACATTATAGATGTTTAGTAGACTAGGGTTACATGATAGGGTGTGTGTAGTATACTACTAAATACTAGGGCTACATGTTAGTATGAATGATAGGATATGTAGTTGCCTGGGGTTACATGATAGTATGTGTAGTAGACTATGGTTATATGATAGGATTTGTTGTAATCTATGGCTAGATGATAGGATTTGTAGTAATCTATGGTTACATAATAGGATTTGCAGTAATCTATGGTTACATGATAAGATGTGCAGTAATCCATGGTTACATGATAGGATGTGCAGTAATCCATGGTTACATGATAGGATGTGCAGTAATCTATGGTTACATGATAGGATTTGTAGTAATTCATGGTTACATGATAGGATGTGTAGGAATATATGGTTACATGATAGGATGTGTAGTAATCTATGGTTACATGATAGGATTTGTAGTAATCTATGGTTACATGATAGGGTGTGTAGTAATCTATGGTTACATGATAGGATGTGTAGTAATCTATGGTTACATGATAGGATTTGTAGTAATCCATGGTTTCATGATAGGATGTGTAGTAATCTATGGTTACATGATAGGATGTGTAGTAATCTATGGTTACATGATAGGATTTGTAATATTCTATGGTTACATGATAGGATTAGTACTAATCTATGGTTACATAATAGTATTTGTAGTAATCTATGGTTACATGATAGGATGTGTAGTAATCTATGGTTACATGATAGGATGTGTAGTAGACTATGGTTACATGATAGGATTTGTAATATTCTATGGTTACATGATAGGATTTGTAGTGATCTATGGTTACATGATAGGGTGTGTAGTAATCTATGGTTACATGATAGGATGTGTAGTAATCTATGGTTACATGATAGGATTTGTAATATTCTGTGGTTACATGATAGGATGTGCAGTAATCTATGGTTACATGATAGGGTGTGTAGTAATCTATGGTTACATGATAGGATGTGTAGTAGACTATGGTTACATGATAGGATTTGTAATATTCTATGGTTACATGATAGGATTTGTAGTGATCTATGGTTACATGATAGGGTGTGTAGTAATCTATGGTTACATGATAGGATTTGTAATATTCTATGGTTACATGATAGGATGTGCAGTAATCTATGGTTACATGATAGGATTTGTAGTAATCTATGGTTACATGATAGGATGTGTAGAAGACTGGGGTTACTTGATAGGATATGTAGTAGACTATGGTTACATGATAGGATGTGTAGTAATCTATGGTTACATAATAGGAAGTGTAGTAATCTATGATTACATGATAGGATGTGTAGAAGACTGGGGTTACATGATAGGATATGTAGTAGACTATGGTTACATGATAGGATGTGTAGTAATCTATGGTTACATGATAGGATGTGTAGAAGACTGGGGTTACATGATAGGATATGTAGTAGACTATGGTTACATGATAGTATGTGTAGTAATCTATGGTTACATGATAGGATGTGCAGTAATCTATTGTTACATGATAGGATTTGTAGTAATCTATGGTTACATGATAGGATGTGTAGAAGACTGGGGTTACATGATAGGATATGTAGTAGACTATGGTTACATGATAGGATGTGTAGTAATCTATGGTTACATGATAGGATTTGTAGTAATCTATGGTTACATGATAGGATGTGTAGTAATCTATGGTTACATGATAGGATGTGTAGAAGACTGGGGTTACATGATAGGATATGTAGTAGACTATGGTTACATAATAGGATGTGTAGTAATCTATGGTTACATGATAGGATTTGTAGTAATCTATGGTTACATGATAGGATGTGTAGTAATCTATGGTTACATGATAGGATGTATAGAAGACTGGGGTTACATGATACGATATGTAGTAGACTATGGTTACATGATAGGATGTGTAGTAATCTATGGTTACATGATAGGATTTGTAGCAATCTATGGTTACATGATAGGATTTGTAGTAATCTATGGTTACATGATAGGATGTGCAGTAATCTATGGTTACATGATAGGATTTGTAGTAATCTATGGTTACATCATAGGATGTGTAGAAGACTGGGGTTACATGATAGGATATGTAGTAGACTATGGTTACATGATAGGATGTGTAGTAATCTATGGTTACATGATAGGATTTGTAGTAATCTATGGTTACATGATAGGATGTGTAGTAATCTATGGTTACATGATAGGATGTGTAGAAGACTTGGATTACATGATAGGATATGTAGTAGACTATGGTTACATGATAGGATGTGTAGTAATCTATGGTTACATGATAGGATTTGTAGTAATCTATGGTTACATAATAGGATGTGTAGTAGACTATGGATACATGATAGGATTTGTAATATTCTATGGTTACATGATAGGATTTGTAGTGATCTATGGTTACATGATAGGGTGTGTAGTAATCTATGGTTACATGATAGGATTTGTAATATTCTATGGTTACATGATAGGATGTGCAGTAATCTATGGTTACATGATAGGATTTGTAGTAATCTATGGTTACATGATAGGATGTGTAGAAGACTGGGGTTACTTGATAGGATATGTAGTAGACTATGGTTACATGATAGGATGTGTAGTAATCTATGGTTACATAATAGGAAGTGTAGTAATCTATGATTACATGATAGGATGTGTAGAAGACTGGGGTTACATGATAGGATATGTAGTAGACTATGGTTACATGATAGGATGTGTAGTAATCTATGGTTACATGATAGGATGTGTAGAAGACTGGGGTACATGATAGGATATGTAGTAGACTATGGTTACATGATAGTATGTGTAGTAATCTATGGTTACATGATAGGATGTGCAGTAATCTATTGTTACATGATAGGATTTGTAGTAATCTATGGTTACATGATAGGATGTGTAGAAGACTGGGGTTACATGATAGGATATGTAGTAGACTATGGTTACATGATAGGATGTGTAGTAATCTATGGTTACATGATAGGATTTGTAGTAATCTATGGTTACATGATAGGATGTGTAGTAATCTATGGTTACATGATAGGATGTGTAGTAATCTATGGTTACATGATAGGATGTGTAGTAATCTATGATTACATGATAGGATGTGTAGTAATCTATGGTTACATGATAGGATTTGTAGTAATCTATGGTTACATGATAGGATTTGTAGTAATCCATGGTTACATGATAGGATGTGCAGTAATCTATGGTTACATGATAGGATTTGTAGTAATCTATGGTTACATGATAGGATTTGTAGTAATCTATGGTTACATGATAGGATTTGTAGTAATCTATGGTTACATGATAGGATTTATAGTAATCTATGGTTACATGATAGGATTTGTAGTAATCCATGGTTACATGATAGGATGTGTAGTAATCTATGGTTACATAATAGGATGTGTAGTAATCTATGGTTACATGATAGGATGTGTAGTAATCTATGGTTACATGATAGGATTTGTAGTAATCTATGGTTACATGATAGGATGTGTAGTAATCTATGGTTACATGATAGGATGTGTAGTAATCTATGGTTACATGATAGGATGTGTAGTAATCTATGGTTACATGATAGGATTTGTAGTAATCTATTGTTACATGATAGGATTTGTAGTAATCTATGGTTACATAATAGGAAGTGTAGTAATCTATGGTTACATGATAGGATGTGTAGAAGACTGGGGTTACATGATAGGATATGTAGTAGACTATGGTTACATGATAGGATGTGTAGTAATCTATGGTTACATGATAGGATGTGTAGAAGACTGGGGTTACATGATAGGATATGTAGCAGACTATGGTTACATGATAGGATGTGTAGTAATATATGGTTACATGATAGGATGTGCAGTAATCTATGGTTTCATGATAGGATTTGTAGTAATCTATGGTTACATGATAGGATGTGTAGAAGACTGGGGTTACATGATAGGATATGTAGTAGACTATGGTTACATGATAGGATGTGTAGTAATCTATGGTTACATGATAGGATGTGTAGTAATCTATGGTTACATGATAGGATACGTAGTAGACTATGGTTACATGATAGGATGTGTAGTAATCTATGGTTACATAATAGGATATGTGGTAGTCTGTGGTTATATGATAGGATATGTGGTAGTCTGTGGTTATATGATAGGATATGTGGTAGTTTGTGTTTATATGATAGGATATGTGGTAGTTTGTGTTTATATGATAGGATATGTGGTAGTCTGTGGTTATATGATAGGATATGTGGTAGTTTGTGGTTATATGATAGGATATGTGGTAGTCTGTGGTTATATGATAGGATATGTGGTAGTCTGTGGTTATATGATAGGATATGTGGTAGTTTGTGGTTATATGATAGGATATGTGGTAGTCTGTGGTTATATGATAGAATATGTGGTAGTCTGTGGTTATATGATAGGATATGTGGTAGTCTGTGGTTATATGATAGAATATGTGGTAGTCTGTGGTTATATGATAGGATATGTGGTATTTTGTGTTTATACGATAGGATATGTGGTAGTCTGTGGTTATATGATAGGATATGTGGTAGTTTGTGGTTATATGATAGGATATGTGGTAGTCTGTGGTTATATGATAGGATATGTGGTAGTCTGTGGTTATATGATAGGATATGTGGTAGTCTGTGGTTATATGATAGGATATGTGGTAGTCTGTGGTTATATGATAGGATATGTGGTAGTCTGGGGTTATATGATAGGATATGTGGTAGTCTGTGGTTATATAATAGGGTGTGTAGTAGTCTAGGGCTACATTATAGGACGTGTAGTAGACTAAGGGTACATTATAAGATGTGGTGTTATCTTCTATGAGAAGCTTTTAGCCAAGCTGTTCTCAGCGACCTCTTTGGTTCTCACTAGCCATGTGGCCTAAAATCCTTAGGCTCAGAGAGCCCCCCCCCCCCCCTCACCCCTTTTCCCGCCTGCCCTGCAGATAAAGTGGCCCAAAACAGTAATGGTAATCTTGGTATTTGCAACTATCTTTTGTTATGAGAAGGAGTAGACTGGAGAATTTGGTGACAGCTGGCAATTAGTAATAGTTAAGGTAATAACCTTTCTGCATCA